GCTTAATTAAAGGTCCCCATTGAGTTAGCCCAACTTCCTGCTGAATTGGTAGACATTCTGTGGCTTCTGCATCAAGCAAGGGCTTTTTTATTTGACAGAGTCCATAGTTAGCAATGTGACTTTGCTAGCTATGGCATGCATTTAGCCTAAGGCACATCTCTTGAAAATTAATATTTTTTTCTTATTTAACTCTTGACCAGATCTGAGGTCAGCAAATCACTCAGCGAGAAGGGATGGGGATTTTTGGTTTCATTTTCTTAGGTGGGGGGGGAATGCAACTGATCATCTCTAGAGGTGGAACTTCTTTTTATCAGTGAAATACACTTTGTATTAATCTTCTTTCTCTTCCCTTTCACTTCAGTCTCTTGTGACTAGGAAAACTACACCAACCGTCTAGCTAAAAATCCACTTTAAAAAAAAAAAAAGTTTCTCCTCCCATCCCAACCCTATCATATTAAATGGACTCATTCAAATGTGGATCACTTTTATTGCAATTTGACATACACTTTCTCCATTGTTGTAGGATATGACAGTGTGGTCACTTCTGTTTCACATCCCCCAGGGTAGTAGAAGTAATTTATAGATAATTTATTTATCCTAGATTGGACAAGTGAGTCAATGGTGCAGCCAGGATTAGCATTCACAACTTCCTGAATCTCAGCCCTATACTTATTCTTCTGGGCCAGCAGTGTCCACACTTTCTTGGTTCATATACCACCACGTTAAAAACTTGTTGTGAAGTGAACTGATGGAACATCAAGATTGCCTACCGTAGTTTGGGAAGCCCTGCTCTAGGTTATACACTCTCCATCTCTATTATGTAGCTTAAAGTTGAGAGGCAAAACACACATTTTGGCCATAATCCAATACTGGATATACAAGATAAAAGCTTCCCTGTCAGTGGGAGTTCAGCAAATGGGCACCATTTGCAGTGAACAAACTGTTTATGCAGATAAGTAAACATCTTCTGTTAGTATGTATGTCACCTGCCAAAACACTATACACTCCCGCTTCTAGTGCACGCTGCACTTAAACCTCTATAGGTGATGCAAATCTCAAAAGGGGCTGTTAGGCACTGGAGATAGGGTTTGGACATCTGAACAATCCCCTGCCAGTACCAAGAGAGGGGTAGGAATAGTGCAGCCTAGCCAGCATAGCCCTCTCAAAGGCCTGGAGTAAGTGTTTGTTCAGCAGCAGACCCTTCTATATAGCCAAGTGAGGGGACAACACTGAAGTGAACCACAGCACGGGAAGCTAAATCTTCCAGGATGACAGAGGAATGCGATCCATAGGAATAAGTCCTTTTTATAGACAAGTTTGACTGAATTTAGGATGATGCAAGTTGTCTCCTATGCCAGCTGATCCAGCAAAGGAAAGTACAAAGTTACGCACCCCCATGTAATGACCTATACGACAAGAGGTATCCACAGTTGTTCCAGAAACACGCATCAGTGCTTTTTTTGGTTCATTGGGCCTTCATCCCTCACATCCAACTGCATATTCAGACCCTACTAATCTCTCCCTATAGGATCTGGAGAATAATCCCAGAGCGACCAGGACCCAGCAATCTGGAATGACTGAGCCAGAATTGACTCACATTGCAGACAATCTATAAATGTCACCCATTTATGCTGGCCCCCTATATGCTATGATGCAGGCACTAGAAGTTTTGGGGCCAATCCTGGACACAAGCACAAAACTGTAGAATGCAGCGGGCAGAGCATTTTCATACATAGGGCCCCACCTGGGGAAGACTTGGTTAGAGGTGCTTAAACTGAGCCAAAGCCTGACCCTCTTCAGGGGGGCCTTTCCCCATCAACACCAGCCCCACCTACATCAAAAATGTAGACAGGAGCAGGAAGAGCTTGAGCATATGGTAAATCCAGGATATAAGAGAGAGAGAAAACCTGACCTTTTCCTCCCCCACAACCAGAAAACCTGCCTAGGGTGGGAGCTGGAGGAGAGAGGGAGTGTGTCTTGATTTATATTGCCTATAGCCTTGTATGGCATACAAATACCATGGTGATAGGGCCTTGCCGATATTCAACATGGAATAGCAAACCATCAGCTGTCCCTACCCTGAAGAATGTTAAACTTATGTTTTCTTCTATGGATTAAAAGCATGCACAGCCCAGAGACACTAAAGCAACAGAGACGTGATATAGGAGGAGGGGAATAGAGATGGATTTGCTTTGCCATAGAATGTGAGAAAGCATCTGAGCAATGGACTAAATGACCGATGCTGTGACATCAGGATGCCAGAAGTGGGCCCACGTAATTGCTGTCCTAAGGGCACCCATGCCAGGAAATATGTAAAGCAAAGGGGCGGAGAGAGCATATCACCCACCTATCGGTCAAACTATAGCCTCTGAAGTACCTGTGTGCCACAACAGTCTTTTTAGTTGCCCCTGGGTAGGGAATGGGAGATTAGAAGGATATGTAAAAAGGGGTCATCAGGCCAAGGTATCAGAGAAGCTGTGATGCATGTTATATGGAGACACACTCTCCTCAATATCACATGGGCATGCTACAGCTTCTGTCTCCATTTGGGGAGGCAAATGGCATACCAACATGGCAGGCTGATGAAGTCCCAAATTGTGTAACCACCACCTTGGTGAATTATGTCTAATGATCTGAGCTAGATAGACCCAGAGGGGAATGTTAAATGTGGCACAGAGACAATCACACAGTGTGTAACCGGGTTACATCCATTGTTGCCTGCCAAATCCCGAAATCCATTTTCAGAACAGACGTTTTCTTATGAAGAATAAGAAGGATTACAGATCCGCAGTCCCCAGAAATACTGACTAGTAAGGACTGTGGAGAAGGGGCAGATGGCTGATGCTGAAATCCCTTATACACATTGCTCCCCAGACCCATTTCAATCGCCTCTTCACTAGCAAACAGTATCCCCCCACCACCACTTAGTGCCGTCATCCTATTATAATATCCCATTCCTCATATAGTACTATCCTGATACAAAACATGCCCTCCGTGCTCTCACCCGCACAACAGGATCCTGGCACTCACCTAAAAACACAACACCCTAACAATGTGTCAGGAGAAATACCCAATGGGGTGAGGGAATCCTGCCATTGTTCGTGGCCATAGCCATGCAGATGTGATGCACATGTACACACATCACAAATATCACCTCTGCAGCTACATTCGACTGCCCTCAAACTAATGACTAAAATAACTTAAAACCAAAGCTTTTTATAATGTGATATAAAAAAAAATATCAGCACAGCACTACTGTCAAGCACCAGGCAGTATAGGGGTATGGTTGGTGAGGTGGGCATAGCCGAGTGGTCCTTCTTTGTCTATGATGGGCGTGAGAGCATTACAGCTGATTTATATTGTTACCCAGTGGTGGGTAACAAACCACTTCTGCTTCTGCCCACTACCTCTCTACCCTGTCGCTTGGGGATTTTGTGCCTCAGGGCTGATGCATGGCTTACGTGAATGTTTTGGGAGGTTGCCTGCATTTGGCATAGCTAGACTTCAGGAAGCACTCCTCGTAGTTTATCCATTTGATTGAAATAGTAAATATCTTATGCAGGAAGGGTGTAGCAGTCTCTACCCCAAGCATTCCTACACTGGGTACGTGACTGGCTCCTTGTGGTGTATGGTATGTGCAGCATGAGAAATGTATGCCCCTGCCTAGCTTTCGCATTGCATGACTATATGATACGCCATCTTTGCACATGGTATGGAATTTAATACAAAATGGCTTGAATTGAGGAAGCAGTGTGAATGGCTAATGAGGATTACAAAATCATGCTTATATGGGTCCTGTCTTAAATAAAACATTAAAATAGCTAGAGACCCAAATTTTTCCAACGTTCAAGGGTTTTCATGTCTGAGGTTTTGGTTTGGACCAGTGTCTATAAACCAACAATTTTAAAATCACAGTTGTACAGAAGAATGTGTCATTGCACTGTAATATATTCATTACTTGGGTGCTGGAGGCATTCAGCTTTTGACCTCCCATTTATCAATACACCCAACACACATACATGTGACAACAGAACCGCAATGAGGTCTCATGCATTATTGACTAAAATAGACTCGCAACCCAGTGGGTGGGTGCTGCAGCTGAGAGATGAATAAATAATGTGGTACAAGGAGAAGGAACAATAAACCTAAACAACTTTATTAGAAAATCAGCAAAACTGTGATCAAGAATAAAATACAGCTTTAGGATCAAGGGATGTTAATCTGAAAAGTGGAACCCAGCTTGGTGTTGTGAAATTCTATTAAACACTGTTACTAGGTGATCTTCAGTTTGTCTTGATTAGCCTGAACCCTATACACGTCTGCAATTATTTTTTCTCTTATTCTTTATTCATCTGATCCATAAAAAAATCATTACTCTTGCTTCTGCCCTGCAGTAATTGTCTCTGCAGATGAAAATGATAGTTGCCTCTTTTGCCTCAGCCACAGACTTTTCCTTTTTACTAATTGTATCTGATTGGGAGCTTAAAATATTTCATCTAAACCACATCCAGGTGTTCAATGAGTCATCCTTATTACTAATATCAGCACAGTACAAGTACGCTTAAATGCATGCAAAATTAACCTACCATAGTCTCTTGATTAATTTGCCATGGTCAGTTGCTGTTATATTCTGTTTATTTTTAAATTAGATATTCAGTTTATATAGTGTTGTTTTATATTAAAATTCCTTTTTGTAAACCTTAATCTTCTTCGTATTGTTTATATTGCCATAGTGCCTCACAGCCCAGCCAAGATTAGTACTAATCGTTGTACAAATGCAGAGAAAGAGACAGTCTCTGCCCCCAACAGCTTACTATCTACAGAAACAAGACAGGCGGTATGGGCAGGGAAGGTGAAGTGACTCACCCCAGGTCACACAGCGGGCGAGTGGCAGTCAGGACTAGAAGCCAAGTTTCCTGAGTCCCAGTTCAATACTCTCTCCCCTGTGCACCATGATGCCTCTTAATTGATTGCTGTTCTTATTGTTCTCTCTCTTATAGTTCGGGATCGGGTGCGATCGAAAATGGAGAGAGATATTTTGGCAGAAGTGAATCATCCTTTCATAGTCAAGCTTCATTATGGTAACTATAATAACATGGAATTCGCATTCACTCTTCCGTGTGTTTTGGGATTGTAACTGGATCTGTCTCATTTCATAAGAATACCACCTTGCTAAATACTACCCCTTTTCCACTCAGTTACGGATGCGTATGACTTCATTTTCCTTATGTGACAGGAAAATTTTCGCATGAGGAGGGCTTTGCTACACCTCTGTCAAAACAAATTTGATACAAGGTGTAATGCAATGATGGTGTTACTAGGGGTTGCTGGTGGGATAAAAAAAGATGTAGAGGCCACTTCTACCACCCCTCTTCAGCAAACAGTTTGATTATTAGATTCTCTTGTTTCCAAAAACTATTAATAATTGATAGCACTCACTAAATTTCTATAAACTATTTACTCCTGGGGGAATTCTGCGCCACTGCGCAATGCAGAATGTTGCAGAAATTAACGTCCATGCAGAATTTCCTTTCCCCCACAGAAATGGGCTGCAGTGCTGCTGGCCGCCACTAGGGGCTGATGGACCCGGCAGAGCCCAGCTCACACATAGAAGACACTGATACGGGGATGGGGAGGGAGCTAGAGGGTTCCTGGCAGCTGCAGTTCCCTGCATACCCTGATGGAAGGAGAAGGCAGCGCGCAAGCCTGGGACTGAGCATCAGGCTGTTTCTCTCTCTGGATCCCTGGGCTCTGGGGGGGAGTGGGGCAGGTGTCTGGTCTGGGGGGAGGGGGTGTGAGTATCTGGGCAAGGGGGGGCCCTGCAGCTGGGCTCTGAGGGGGGAGAGGGTGTGGTTATCTGGGGGGAGAGGGCCCGCAGCTGGGTTCTTGGGGGGGGTGCAGGTATCTGGGCTAGGGAGGCGTGGCTAGGCTCTTGGGGGGAGGGGTTTGTGTGCATTGCGGGGGGCACCATGGTTGGACTTGGGGGGGAGGGGTTGTGAGTGTCTGGCCCCCTGGCTGGGCTCTGGGGGGGAAGGGAGCAGAGAAACAGGACCTGGGTTGTTGTAGGGGTTTCTTTAACTCTCTACTCCGGGGGGAAATTTTGTGTGTGTTTGTATTGTCACAGAGACTTGATTATGTTGTGTTATTTTGACAAATAAAATTTGCAGAATTTTAAAATATTGCACGCAGAATTTTTAATTTTTTGCCACAGGATGCCCCCAGGAGTAACTATTGCAATGCTAATAAACTATTGCCATGCTTTCAGTTACGCAGAGCAGCTTCCCCCTAGATTTGCCTTTCTCAGCCCAACAAGCTCCCTAAATTCTTGAAGGATCCTATTGCAAGTGCAAAGGGGCTTCTGTGAGCATTTTGAAGAGCTGTAGCTCTCTCCTGCCACAATTCTGACTCTGACTAGTTTTACTCTCTTTTCGTCTCCTCACCCTGTGCAATGGAGGACAGCTTTAGCTTCATTAGGTATGTATACACAGTAATTAAAAGCCTGCAGCTGGCATGGATCAGCTGACTTGGACACCTGGGGCTCAGGCTGCGGGGCTCTAAGATTGCTGGGTAGGTATGCGGGCGCAGACTGGAGCCCAAGCTTTGGGACCAGATGCTAAGGGGGGCAAAGAATGCATTAGTAATAAATCTCCATCTCCCAGCTAACACAGGATTGTTCCCTGTAGTATGGGCTAGATTGCTTAGTCCAGCAGAGATCTTAAATAATTCCATTCTAAAAGTGAAGTGTTAACATGGTAGGAGAGTTAGAGAACGATGCAGAATTAATCAATAATATTCATTCTTTGGAGACTTTGTAATGATTTAAAACATCCAACATCTCCATTCTTTTCTAATGCAGCATTTCAAACAGAGGGAAAGTTGTATCTAATACTAGATTTCCTGCGGGGAGGGGACCTTTTCACAAGACTCTCCAAAGAGGTAAGCCCATTGATTTTTGTGTCGGACACAAAATAATGTCTTGGATCATTTTCAGAATTTGTGTGTGTCCCTGGGTGTATTTTCATTCTATGTAACTGAATAGGAGCTGTAATTTGTTATAATTTCCCTAAACCTTTTTTAATACTTGTATCTACATTGTGTTATAAGTGACATACCTGACAGAGTGTGAGCATCATGTTAATAGAAAACTTAATTACAATTTACTCCCAATGGTTCATTGCTAGTTCTTTCTCATGGTAGAATAACCCCTGACTCATTGCTAAAAAGAGACACATGCTGGCTGTGATGTGGAGAGAAAAGATATACCCAGATTCCCCACTCTATGAAGCCTATGCTCAAGTGACCACGTGTAGCAGGGTCAGGTTCTGGGTGGCTAGGGAGTTCACAGGACGCTCCGGTTGAAATGCCAAAATCCCTTCCAGGTTTTCCAGTTTACTTCACCAGATATTTTACACTTCGCAGAAGTCTCTCTTTGCATTCCTTCAAGTAAAGGCCAAAATTCAAAACAAACAGGCCGGCAGGGTGGCCCTTATGTTCCCCCAGAGTTCCCTTCCGTGGCTTCTGGTGAATAAAATTCCAGTCTCTTTCATGGGAATAACCTAGCCCCTCCTTATTGTAACTGGGTTCATCTATCCCTAATTAGCTCCCAGATTGGAGAGTCCCCCTGAGCTGACTCTGAACCCTTAGGAATTAGCACAAAAACACAAAGGGTGAAATCCTGGCCCAATTGTAGTCAATGGCAAAACTACCATTCATTTCACTGGGGCAAGATTTCACCCAAGGCTGTTATGTGGCTCTGCAAGGTCTTTTCCTAGAGGCCTTGCTTGGGCAGGAAGCAGCAGGGTTCTGAGGGCCCCTCACTAGGTCACTGAAAGATCAAGGACACCTTGTTGTGCCAGGTTAGCCATGCTACTTTGTCTGTGCCCTTCTGTCCCAGTAATTACATTACCCCAACCCTGGACTGAGGTGGTGACTAATCCTTCAGTTCCAATGATCTTTCCTTAATTTAAAGAAGAGTGATCCTGGCTCCTCACTCTCTTTCCCTGTGTAACTTTTTATTTTTGTTAGACATACATTATTCATAATACAGCACCTTTTAGTCTGAATAGAACATTTCATACAGTCCTTATCCCACACTGCTTCCCAGAGTTAAATCCCCATAGATATATAGTTACATAATAAAAAATAGCAGAGGGGAGAAAACTGACAGAGAGAATGAGAGAGAAATGAGGAAATAATTGTTTTCAGATTAAATTTGAAAAGAGGGGGAGAGTCAATGAGGAGGACAGACACAGGACAGCTGCTGGTGGGGGCAGGAGCTGCAAGGGAGAAGGTAGTCATGGTGAGACAATGTAAAAAAACACCTGGTACCACAAAGTGGAGAGTGCAAATACAGGGGGGGAGAGAGAGAGAGAGAAAGAGAAGGTGCATGTGAATAATGCAAGCCAAATTCTTAAAGCATTGCTCTCACCTGAAAATTGGCTTTTTAAATTCACATAGAGCAATGACAGCAAATAGGTTTTTTTTTAAACGTATTACAATATTTTAAATTCTAGATTGAATTTGGTTCTACCTAGCACCTGGCAGAGACAGTGGCGGAGGATGTTATTCCAATGATACCATTGGCTGAGCTCATCGGAGATTACAAGTCTCTGACAGAACCCTTGTCTGGGACTATTGCCAGTGGCATTACAAATCCCAAGGAGTTTAACCTGGGGCACGTGGCAGCATGCTACCTCTGGCTGCTGGAGAGAAGCAACAGCTGGAGGTGGGGATTGGACATAGCCGTGAGACAGAACACAAGGCACAGGGTGTGGCAGCTGTGCAAGCTAACCAGGCAGCAACCTGCAGAATGTGGATAGTACTGTCCCCTGTAGCAGCTGGTGGGAGTCTGAGTAGACCAAGAGCCACCACCTTCCCTTGGTGCTAGCAGTTCTTCTCTCATCTGTCGCAGCTGTGTACCTGCTCCTCTCCCTGCTTCCTTGCTCCTGGAAAGGGCATCTCTGCTTGTCTCCATTCCCTTCCTTCCTCACAGGTTTCCCCATATTCCTCTCCGCTCCCCTGCCCTCCTGGAGATGTGATAAGAACTGCTGCAGCCACCAAAGGAACAAGTCTGTACGTGGCCAGGACTTGAGCCACCAGCACCAGGAGGAAGACCACTTCTGGCTGGCTGCCAGGAATGTCTCTAGAAGACAGCATTATCCCACGTCCCCAAGTGATGCTTCAGAAGCAGCCAGCTGGGTAAACTGCAGCTGCTGCTCAGCTCCCTGAGTTCTGCCTCACAGCCAGTACCTGCAGTTGCCATACCTTAGCAGTCAGGCTCCCCAGGGGTTTGCTGTCGCCGCAGGCTAGACTAGTGGGGGAGCCATGTCTGGCCCTGTAGGCGTTTTGCCTGTGCCTGTGGCTTTTACTGTGTTCTGTGTCTCATGTCACCAGGATGAGTCTGATATCAAACATATGTCTCAGCAGGTAAATAAAAGAGGAGCTTGTCATAACTAAGAGCCCAAGCCCTCTGAAGTCAATGGAAAAACTCCTATTGACTTCAATGGAGGGTTTTTTTGATTGGGTCCTAAGTCTACGCATGCTGCATATTCTGTTAATATTTTGGAACTAAATAGAAGTCATTTTATAAAACACAAAGCATTTCAGTTCACTTTTACACAAACTAGGTCCATATCTCAGCTTGTGGGAATTTGGGAACCACGTGCCAAGATTTTAGTAAACTAGGATGTATGCAGGTACTAAGGGCCTGGCTGTGCATTGTTGACTTTTTGCCATTGACGTCAATAGACTATGGCTCAGCCCTGATTTATATTAGTATGTAATGTCAGCTGAACTGACTAAAAACAAGAATGAAAGCAGCATGATTTAAGGGAGAGGAAAACATAGCTGAATGAACAGAATTTTGTCATGTAACCAGGAGAACCCGGTGAGGAGGGTTAATGTGAGTGCAGACAAATACTGACAAATTGAATCTGATATGATGGTCTTTCTTGCAATCCTGAGTCAAAGAATTCTCCCGTGCAGCTGTTTGAAGCAAATCAACCTGTTATCATACAGTGATTAGACTTGTTGTTCTTTTCTTTCTGGCTAGGTAATGTTTACAGAAGAGGATGTCAAGTTCTACTTAGCTGAGCTGGCCTTGGCTTTAGACCACCTCCATAGTCTTGGAATTATTTACAGGGATCTAAAACCAGAAAAGTAAGTTAAGGAAAATAAATTAACTGAAAACATATATATGAACCTTTTAAATCACTTCCTTGTTATTTTAGTAAGTCACAAAATGCCAAAGAAAGTCCTTAGGTATCTTTTTCCTTTTCTTATCTGAGTATTTGTAGCACCCCCATCATCATATATCTGAGCATCTCACCATCATTACTAGATTTTATCCTCAACACCCCTATGAGGTAGGTGTTTACCCATTTTACAGATGGGGAACTGAGGCACAGTGTTGATCAAGTGACTAGCACAAGGTTATTCTAGAGGAGGACTGTGGTTGAGCCAGAAATTGCACTCTGGTCTCTTGAGTCTCAGCCCAATGCCCTACCTATTCGACCAGGCTTCCTACCCTACCACTTCAGCATGATGTGACACAACATCTGCTACAGTCCAGCATTATATAGTCACACAGAGTGGGTTCCCTATTGCTTTTGACTTGATAAATTATCTCAGTTCAAAACAGGGTATGGAATAAGGTCCCAGATAAGGTGAATCTAGAATAATGCCATTACTCTGGATTTGTACCATTTTAATGCAGATCAGATTTTGACCCTAAAGTTCTTTTCTCGATTTAAACAAGTTTACTTCTATTTGTAGCAGCGAACCAATATAAACTGGCCTTAATCCTGCTGGTTTACAAACTATTCAGTGATGTTAGCTAAATTTTGCCAAGAGTAAGTTTACTGTTTCTAAAATGCTAGTGTTCCCTTTTTTTTGCTGAAATAAAGCAAATGACACCCATAGTGAGATGACTGGGAATCAGCTGATATTTTTTGTTGTTGCTCTGTTCCAGTTGACTTGTGCTTAGCATACATTGTTCCATGCCAATTTTAATAAAACGTGCTTCAACCTTTAAAAGTTATGAACCTTTTTAATGAAATATTCAGGTTTGTTTATCGATAAACTAGGCAAATACAACTTAGATGGGGCTACTATAAGGTGGGTGCATAACTGGCTGGATAACCGTACTCAGAGTAGTTATTAATGGTTCCCAATCCTGCTGGAAAGGTATAACAAGTGGGGTTCCGCAGGGGTCGGTTTTGGCACCGGCTCTGTTCAATATCTTCATCAACGACTTAGATATTGGCATAGAAAGTACGCTTATTACGTTTGCAGATGATACCAAACTGGGAGGGATTGCAACTGCTTTGGAGGATAGGGTCATAATTCAAAATGATCTGGACAAATTGGAGAAATGGTCTGAGGTAAACAGGATGAAGTTTAACAAAGACAAATGCAAAGTGGTCCACTTAGGAAGGAACAATCAGTTTCACACATACAGAATGGGAAGAGACTGTCTAGGAAGGAATATGGTAGAAAGGGATCTAGGGGTTATAGTGGACCACAAGCTAAATATGAGTCAACAGTGTGATGCTGTTGCAAAAAAAGCAAACGTGATTCTGGGATGCATTAACAGCTGTGTTGTGAGCAAGACACGAGAAGTCATTCTTCCGCTCTACTCTGCGCTGGTTAGGCCTCAACTGGAGTATTGTGTCCAGTTCTGGGCACCGCATTTCAAGAAAGATGTGGAGAAATTGGAGAGGGTCCAGAGAAGAGCAACAAGAATGATTAAAGGTCTTGAGAACATGACCTATGAAGGAAGGCTGAAAGAATTGGGTTTGTTTAGTTTGGAAAAGAGAAGACTGAGAGGGGACATGATAGCAGTTTTCAGGTATCTAAAAGGGTGTCATAAGGAGGAGGGAGAAAACTTGTTCACCTTAGCCTCTAAGGATAGAACAAGAAGCAATGGGCTTAAACTGCAGCAAGGGAGGTTTAGGTTGGACATTAGGAAAAAGTTCCTAACTGACAGGGTGGTTAAACACTGGAATAAATTGCCTAGGGAGGTTGTGGAATCTCCATCTCTGGAGATATTTAAGAGTAGGTTAGATAAATGTCTGTCAGGGATGGTCTAGACAGTATTTGGTCCTGCCATGAGAGCAGGGGACTGGACTCGATGACCTCTCGAGGTCCCTTCCAGTCCTAGAATCTAAAAATCTATGAAAGGAGATTACAGGGTAGTGCAGAAACAGAACCAGTCTCACTATCCTTTATGCTCCAAACTCTAAGAACATAGCAATATTCTTTCCCTTCATGCCATGCAATTTAAATAAATGCAATTATTTCTTTAGAGTGGTGTGTAATCCGTTTCATACTTCTGAAGGAAAGAAGAGGCCAAGAATATTGGAAGCTTGATTTTGTAGGAGTGAGGAGTTGAGGGCAGGAAGGTTGTTCATCCACAAATACGATACAAATTACATAACCTTCAAATTCAGTTTCATGTATATATTGGTCATTTTGACAAACCAGTAGATAATGACATGACTGAAACTATCTGTCATTTACTCAAAAGACCATTTCACAAATTACTAAAACTTCCAGTCATTTTTGGTTAAATGAAAATAAGAACCAGAAATTTATCAAATGCAGAAAGTCACCCCCACTGAATTAAACATCTAAAGGAATAAATGTATCACTTTATTACCAAATATCAAATATAAAAGAACATCTGTCATCAGTAACAAGTGACATATGTTTTTGTATCTCTATCTGCCAGCAACCCTTTTGATTTTATTTTGTTTTGGTGCTTAGTTGATTCATGTTTGCTAGGCAATCACATACTGCATTCATGAGCACCATAGAAAAGCTAATAAATAAATAAAATAGTGTTTGTGATCTTTGATTCTGATTGCTCTAATTGAAAATCGTGCTCTACTTCATGATGATGTTTCTTTTGTTGAGGAATGGCACGTTCTCCACTGCCTGTTGCTTTAGATCAACCTGTGAAGTGCTGAATCGCTACTAGAAAATAATCCTAATACAAACCCATTTAAAAAGCTGAGTTAAGGTGTAGTTAAATTTGTAGGCACATGAGAGTGAAGTTCTGTTTAACAAACAAAAAAGTTAGAAATACAAGCAAGTCAGAGTTAATGGTAAAGTGACCACAAAAATGAGAACAGGCTCATTAGGCCCCTTAAAAGCCAAAATAGGCTGACTGTGGGACTAATAGGCCTCCAAAGATGAAATAAACTGAACCAGTTTTAGCAGTGTTGGGAGCTATAATGTAGAAAGCCCACTAGCTGCTAATGCTGTTATTCATCCTCATGTCACCTAATCCTGCTTATAGTAAACCTAGTCAACATGGTGCTCAAAAAAACCGTGTTGGTAGCCCATTTACACTATGGCTCCCACTGTGCGAACATCAGTGGAGCTGAACCTGTGTTAGATAGGCCCTCTGTTGTCTTTATAGTACTATCCAGTCAAAAAGCTGAGGTACAAATACATCTCAGAATTGCACCCTCAAAAGAGCGAAATTAAAAGATCATTAGTAAGGTTGCAAAGTCAAGTACTCAAAAGTTAGGAAATTCAAGAATTAAGATTCCCTGGCAACCTTTATTTGACCCCCTTGTATTATGATAGAGTTTTTAATTACATTATCACATATTATTTTTCCATAGAACCCCTCCCTCATTCAGTGGAGTCATTCCACTCTGTTTTTCTTTCCAGCTTCCAGTCTTCTTGCACAGCTAGTCCAAATTTTGTTCTGTGGCTCCCAGTCTCCCCCCAGCTTTCCCCCCTTTTCCCCCACCTCCCAGGTTCCTTGTCACAATCTACTCCTCCCACAGGTCTGGCTCATATCTCCTCAGGTCACCTTTGCATTTGAATAAAGCAACTTCCTCCTCCCTGGTGCCTGGGCCCAGCCGGAGGGATGGGATGTCACTGAGAGCATAGGAGCGCTAGGCTCTCTTCTCTCTGCTCAGGTGCCTAGACGCTGCACAACCCACAGCAGCCCAGAACTGCAATTTTAGGGAAGGTCCCTGCTAAGTCCCAGACCATGCTCAATGAAGATGGAATCTTCTGGGAATATAGCTGTTAAAATTCTGAATATGTTCAAGCTGTGATTTTTTTCAAAGGCATGTAACTTGGGCAAACTTGGGCAAAGATTTTCCTGGAGATGGCAAAATGAACATTCCTGATACAAAGGCCACCCCCTTTCAAGTGCCTGCTCCAAAGCATGGGGATGCTAGAGCTTTTTACACACAAAAGGTTGCTTTAATTTTTTAACAGGAGCAAAAACAACACATTTTTTCCTAGCCTCATTTTTGTAAATTGCTGAACTATTTTGGATGAAATTTTGACCTCCCTCACCACCACCCCAAAAAAATTCAACCTGAGGCAGACACCCAGCATGGAAAATTTTAGCCCAAACACTTGAAGTTTGGCAAAGATTATAAATAACTGGAAACAGAGTCTTATAATGGGATGTCAGCAACTTTAATAATAGGCAGTGCTACCAGTTCAGTCTATAATAAATCACTCAGAACACATAGTAAATAAAAGCTATACAAGGGAATCCTTATGATTACATTGGAGTAGCTAAGGGCTTGTCTACACACAAATGTTGGTACTGCTTTAACTATACTAGCATAGTTAAAATGGTACAACCCCATATGTGTGGACACAGTTATACCAGTATAAAGGTGCTTTATACTAGTATGGCTGTTCCCGTATGGGAAGGGGAAGAAACTAGCCTGTATCAGACTTTGTCTATATCAGCTCTTTTGTCATCAAAACTTCTGTCGGTCAGGGGTGTGAAAAAACACTCCCCTGACCGACAAAAGTTTTGCCTTCAAAAGCACTGGTGTGGACAGCGCTATGTCGGCAGGAGAGGCTCTCCTTCCGACATAGCTAACCCCGCTCATTGGGGGTGGTTTAATTATGCCGGCAGGAGAGCTCTCTCCCGCCATCAAAGAGCAGTTACACAGGGGACCTTAGAGCGGCACAGCTGTGCCATTATAAGGTCCATAGTATAGACATAGCTTTATATATCTTTACACCAATATAGCTATGTTCACATTAGGAGCTGTACTGGTATAAGTAAATGGGTAAAAAATCACACTCCTAACCAAAATAGTTATACCAGTACAATAACTGTGTGTAGACCAACCTAGGAGAGGATGGCATGAATGCTTGTGATTTCATCA